AGGAGCCCCTAGTAGCGTCCTTGCTCCTAGTAGCGATGCCAGGAGACCCCTAGTAGCGTCCTTGCTCCTAACTATGCATACCAAGAATCTTCTCGATCCTTTCAAGGATGCTCTCCTGCAGGACTTTCTCCTTGGAAAGCTGGCGGCATGAAATTCCTATCCCGACCAAGCCCAACTCAACATAATTGATATTGTGGTGCTGGGTCAAGTGTATGCACACAATCAAAAAGCTTCACCGGAAATCTGGCGGTGTGCAAGCTTCACCGTCAACTCCAAAAACTCCAACTGTGCAAAAAAGAACACCTGTTGTGCCGGTGCTGCCAAGCGTCACCGGAGGTACATTCAAAGCCAGCTGCTGGTTTCAAAGAACCTTGTCGAAAACAGTCTGACACTTAGAGTCGAATGACCCAGTAGCCCAATAAGCAACAGGATGTTATACAGTAACATAAAGCATTGTAGTAGTCTAGAAGAGTGTTCCTTTAGAATTCAGCAAACAGTTTGTTTTCGGATGATCTCTGAGACACAAGTCAAGCTGCTGCAGTTGTCAAAGAACTCAGGCGCTGGCTGATGCCAGCTGTGGATCCACTTGCTCTGACACCACCTCAGTGCGCTGCAATATGTTGCAATACACTGTGGGACAAAATAAACAATAATGGCTTTAGGATAGAACAGCTTAGAACAACAAAAAACGCACCAGTTTAATCAACACTCAACCTTGTAAGCTGCAAGTCACTGGGGTTCGGCAGCTGCGGCACCAACATGCCTTTGGGCAGCTTCAACACCTTGTCCCACCCGCTGGACCCGTCCTGTGATTGAGTTGTTTCAAAAAAGCGTTCAAAGTGCACGCATGCGACATTGAGGCTGACACATCAAGGCCAAGGTCGGGTATCACACTGCTACCGTTCTCCATGTGGCCAAAAAGAGCCTTCCATGCAGGTTGATACTGCAAAAATTGACTGTCCGATCAAAGCCCGACCAAAGCCTGTCTGATTACAGGACGTAAATTCAACTTTTGGTAACTTCTCTGAGCTACCTCATTCCAACGCAGTTGAAATGTGTCGAACACATGTCCAAACAATGTCGAACAGCCTCTCTCTGCAAGGGAGTTAAGCATCGCTCACCTCAAGTGTTGTATGCAAGAGATGGGTCGTTGCAGTCTCGAAGGCCTGTGATTTGTAAGTGTTGGTAGTCTTGGGATCCCAGCAAATCAGCTTAAACCATGATGCCTGTTGCACATAGGAGGAAGACAAGGCACCTATGTGCCGCCTGATCAGTTGCATTAAGCTTTGCAAACCCAAAAATCAAGCACTAGCAAGCAAGCAAGCAAGCATATTGTAAGCTTTGGTTTGCTTGTTCTCTTACATTGCCGTACACACTGTCTTGGAAGACATCTGACCTCACCGCTTTTTACGGCTTTTGTCTGAATTGTCCAGTCACAAGTGGCCTGTACAGACCCTCAGCCAATTGCAGCAGTCGGCTGTGCTCAATTGTCTTATTGAGCTCCTTCCAAATGTGAGCCAAAAAAGGATACGTCGCTGGATAATGAGGTGCTAAAACAATACCAGCAGCGATCAGGAATCAGGACTTATCAGGACAACCTTACCACATGAGCATTCTGCCTAGGCATCCTTTCGTTTAAGCAAACGCATTGATCCCATGGAGAAATCCTCGCCGAACAGCGCTTCAGCCAAAGACAATGCGGGAGGTGGAGCAGCCTGCTGGGATGAGGGTGAGTACGGTCATACTTTTGTGGTGTCTGGAAATCTTTGATGTTCTCGAACTGCAAAACCTACAAATCCAGGGACTTAAACACTGGCAAAACAAGGCCAAAACAAGGAGCACCCACAGGCACCAACGGGGACGAATGGGCACCAAGCCTAAACCCGACTTCTATTATTCAGGCCGGCCTGCCAGCTGGCCGGTGGACGTTCCTGGTCATGCTCTGGAGAACCATCACTGAGCCCGGACTTCTTTGAGTGCCTCACAACCTGCAAAAAACATCCAACGCCGGAAATACGAGAAACAAGCAGCACCAAAAGATTGGGAATCGTAGTGACTACGTAGTGCATTCTAACACAAGCTCAATATCAGCTCAACGCTTGGGCCCTAGCTGCTGGTACACCCACATCACCACCCCTGCTCTCACCGCCTTCACTGTCCTGTCAACGCCGAAGTGCTGTGAATTAGCTCAGCGGCTTCATGTTCAAACCTTGCTCGACGGAAACCAAGGCCGCCCATTTTGCACAAGCGCCAGGCTTACTCGACAGTGAATCTGTCGAATTGTCACGGGGCGCCCTCAAGCACATCGTTAGGCAAGTGCCATTTGCCGTCTCAAGCAAACAACATATTACATTACATGTCATTGCATCTTAAGCTTGCTAGATTGGAAAGTGATAAAATGGTACAAAGTCCAGTCGTGCCAGTCTGATCACGTTGGATGTGCTGTGCTGCCTGCGCAGCATGGAGAAAGGTTGAAAAAGCGACCCGATCTCTGGAGCCCTTTTCGGAACCTCACAGACCCTCAACTCACTTCTTAGAGAGGAACATGGCGGCCTGCAGACGTGCTGCAGCCTTTTTGACCTGAACGCAGCTGAAGTTCAAAGGTCTGTCCGTTCTCAACTGCGTTGATCAAAGGCCACACCTTATCTTATTTCAGTGGTAATAATAAGGGAGAAAGAGATTTGCAAAATAGGAAACAATGACATAAACAAACAACAAAAAAGGAGCAAACAAAGGAAGAGGAAAAAGAACCTCAATCCAAGCCTTGGATGTGGCTTCAAGCTTGTCCTTCTTGTTTTCTGCTTTCTCAAGCATGGATGTGGCCGAATCCATCTCGCTCTGCGCCTCCTTCATATCAATTCCATCTGCCTTCTCAAAGTCATTGACCAGCACGGAGAGCTGGTTGGAATCCACTGTTGCGAAGCCACCCAGGACGACGACCGGCTTCCACGTTCCGTCCTCTTTGTAGCGGAGGACACCAGTGTCCAGGGCGGACATCATGGGAGCGTGGTTGGCCAAGATGCCCAACTGGCCGGTTGCACTTGGCAAAATCACCTCTGAGCAGGCCACTGTAATGCCATCTCCCTCAGGTGAAAGGACCTGCAAAACAATTAGAAGTTGCATTTGCTGAAAACAATTTCGGCTGAAATCTGTAGACAGGATTATTCAATTCTCACATGGAACAAGCTGATACAAGCCTTCAGCTTCAGCCGATCACCGGCCGCGGCCACATACTCGTCACCCTCGGTCTCAGCCTCCTCTGCACGTCTGGCCACGGCGCTCCGACGCTGCGTGGCGGGGGTTCCGACAAAACTCTGCGCTGCGTGTTTGGTGAAGAGCGCCAAAGCACCAAAGAGGAGCACTCCAAGCACCGAAGAGCGAGCCATAGGGTCGATCGAATGCTAGTCACTGCTAGTCCTAATCACCTTGAGCCCCCTGTGCCACAAGTTTCACACAGATTGAAAGAGTTCTTCGCAAGGCCGGTCTTTTGCAACACTTCGTTAAGCTTCGTTCTTCCACATCATGACTGAACATGACTCAATCTCAGCTCCTGCGCCTCCTCGCCCTTCACACCACCCCTCGGGGCTGGCCCGGCCACCTTCGGTTTGGCAGCAGCGAGCTGCATGGGCCGCAAGCGGAAGCGGAGGTCAAGCACAGCCTGAAAGGCAAAGTTGCAACAAGTCGACAGCTTGAATCCATGCCAAACATTTCTCAAAATCAGAGCCAGGTGGCTGAGTGAACAGCAAGATTTAGCAGGCAAAAGTGGCACTCATCAAAGACAACTGGGCAGAAGTCATGCAAACCTCGCTCCTGAGAACACATCCAGATTTGCAATTCATCTATTCAATTCTCTATGCCGGCACATGGGCTTTCGACACTCGCGGAGCTGAAGCCGTCTCAGGAGGATGCCACGCCACGCAGTCGCAGGACTTGCGTAGACACACAGCGAAACTCTGCAGACCTGAGCAAGTCCCAACCAACATCTGGCTGACGGGCTGAGAGTAATCTCAGGCGAGTTCTCAACATCTGGCTGATCTCCCAGATTTTCTCCACTCGGTTGAGTGAGATCTGCAAACATCAGCTCCACCTGGGCCAGTGAACTGACAGAAAGCTCTCAGCAATGACCATGAACCGTCCTCTAAAAGCAGTGGTTGCCGTCGCTCTAGCCTCAGATGCAAAGCGGTTCAGCGCACAAATGCATGCATGTTGGCACCAGGTCATAGGAGGGGTAAGGGATCAAAAAATAATAAAAAGAGAATCAAAAAAAAAATATTCAACGGGGATCAATAAAAAAATAAAAAGGGAATCAAAAAAAAAATATTCTAGCCCGTAGTAGTAGTAGTAGTAGTAGCAGTAGCAGTAGTAGAAGTAGTAGTAGTAGTAGTAGCAGTAGCAGTAGCAGCAGCAGCAGCAGCACCAGCGTAGCAGTAGCAGTAGCAGCAGCAGCAGCACCAGCACCAGCAGCAGCAGCAGCAGCAAGAGGAGGAGGAGTAGTAGTAGTAGTAGTAGTGGTAGCAGTAGCAGTAGTCACGGCGTTCACACGAAGTTAGGCCCTACATGGCGTTGTCAGAGCGCTCAGAGCAGAGAAGTGTTTGGAATGGGTGTAGCAGCATCGGAAGGTGCCTGGGTTTCTTTTGAGGAAAAAGATGTGGTGGACCAGTCTATTTCTAATGGGTGCATTGCGGTCGCAGCCGTACAGGGTCTTTTTCACCAAACACTTATCGAACCCACGAAGGACCAGAGGACCAAGGCATTTGCCACCAGGCATTTGCCCCTCCTAGTAGGGAACTATTTCTACTGGTGAACCAT